TATATATATTTAAAGGAGATTCCCACCATTGTAAAACTTGTCTCAACCATCCACATATTACATAGTTACATAGTATTTGAGGTTGAATAAAGACACAGTACAACCTTTGTGTGTCCCTGAGTGATCTTGTTTTTAAGAGTACCTGCACCCCTGTATTTTTCGGTCTCTGAGGAAGGTATCTAAATGCTTTTTGAATGAATCAATACTCTCAGCTGATACCACTGCTTGTGGCAGTGAGTTCCAGACTTTAACCGCTCTAACTGAACAAAAGCCCCTACGCCCTTTGTGGTTAAATCTTTTCCCCACCAGTTTTAGGTGGTGGCCTCTAGTCTTTGTTATGGAGTTTACTGTAAATAGTTTATTGCTGATGTTGCCATCACCACTAAACATTTTGTACATCAAAATCATGCCCCCCCCTTAATATCCTCACTTCTAGCGTGAACAAGTTTACATTTAGTAGCCTTGTCTCATAGCTTTGGTCCTCCATCCCCTTAATTAGTTTAGTTGCCCTTCTCTGGACTCTCTCCAGCTCAAGCACATCCTTTATGTGGATTGGTGACCAAAATTGGACCGCAATTTAGGCTTGAATAATTTTTATGAAATAATCTTATCTTGCAAAAATCACCAGCATTGGTAGATAGTCCTGGAGGAAACAATTTTTTTTAGTTAAAAATTGTTCTGTGTATGAACAAGATTACACCCCAGAATGATAACACCCCAGTTTATTAACACTGCTGCCCCATGGTAGATGGGGTTGCAGTTAGTAGTGCAGGGCCTTCCATATTACAGCTAGTCTTATTGGCATATTTGAAATGTTGGCCACCTCACATCTGATTTGCTCCACTTTCTCCTGCAAAGCCCATATTTATTTATGTCTTTCTGTTTATCTCTGCATTTCTTCCTCTATTTTTCCTATTATTTTTTACAAACAGCAAACCCTATCTGAAAATGTCCCCTTTTCCTAGAGTCATCTGTAGACATGACATTATCATCAACAATTTCAGTATGTGTAAGAAAAAAAATAATTTGCTCAGAATAGCCAGACCATAAAATGTACTAGTAAGAAAATGTATACAAATCACATTACGCATTCAAAAGCTTGAAGTGAAGGGATTTTTTCCCTTAACAGATAAGCCCTGTACAAGAGTAAATTGGAGCAATACACGGGGTAATTGCTTGAGAACATATTAGAATATATTACTAACTAGCACTTCAATAACAGGAAAATACCTTTTTTAGCAAATGTGCCTTTTCATTAAAAAAAAACATGAACTTATTTTCTGTGATGAGGAATCTAATTATCACGTGTGAATAGGGAGGGGTGCAAACCCCTTAATTATCTCAAAAAGGAAAACAATATTTCTATTTCCAGCATACAGTAGTTAACCTTGCATCTCTTGAAATATTTGTGATATACTGCATATTTTTTAAGCACTTATTTTAAATATTCATATAAAATAGATTCTTGCTACACTGTAAATGTAGGAGGGAAATGTGGTAATATTACATGAGCAGTTTGCTTATTAAATAAATGCTCAATAGAAACAGTGTCAAGTGCAGGGAATAGGAAATAGATGCTAACATCAAGCCATCTAGCTGTTTTAATTCAAAAAAGTAACTAATAATGAATATTACAATTGATTTAAAAGTCTTCAAATAAAGATTTAGGGTAAATATGAGAAGAGTCATACCACCCAATATTAGAAAAAGTATCCACTGGATCTTAGCAAAGGTTTCACCAGAATTATATGAAGCTTGTGCATTTTCCCTTTTTCTGGATTTTGCTCTGATATCTTGCATATACCATCCTGCATACCAGAGTTGCTGTTGTTCCAACAATGCCAGTAAACAGAAAGAAGACACGGCAAACAAATGAGGAAATCAAGAACATTACTACAGCCTAGCCTAAGAAAAATCAAGGTAGAGAGTCTGCAACAGAAAAGAATATTCATTCTCACAATATTAAATAAAATAATTTTCTGTCAGGTGGTATCATGCATTCATTCATTTAATAATTCACTAATATGTTCATTCAAAAATCAATGTATCCTCTGATTTTATTGTGAGTAAAAGCCTTATTAGCATTGCTTTCTAACAGCCATTAACTAAAAACTTTATAACTTTATATACTTAAATACACTTAAATGACAGAACATAAATTATGACTCACCTTTGATCCTCGCTCGTTAAAAATTATTTCAACATCTAAGATTTTACCAAATTGCTGTGGGAGAAAGAAAACAAAATTGTTATGGAAATATCCTTTTAAAATGCTAAAAACACAGTATTTCATATTTGGCAGACTGTACGATTAATATTCAAAACTTGATAGATGGATGTGCTCCTCAATTGATGCTAGCACTTTTTAGTTCAAATACATGATTTTCATAATACTGACAAGGACATTCTGCCATTTATCATAAGACCAGGCTGTGTGGAATCTTGAGGGGATGTACTATGGAACTCACAAGCTTTTTTTTGTTTTTTGATATATATATATGTTCACAATTGCTTGTTTTTAAGGTTACTGTTACGAAGACAGTGCAAGTATACAAGAGTGATATATTCACAGCACAATGGGGGTAGCTTTCTAAATGAAAATAAACTTCTTGGGGGGAAAATAGGTTCCCCCCATTTTATATATCTCATACATGGCCTTTTATACATGAGCTCAAGATATGCTGTAAAATAGCAGAGGAAATTTACTTTTTTCTGAATTTGATTACATGATCTATATACTAATAAAGTTAATGATTTATCACCTTTCTAGACAGTTCAGCTTACACATCTTACACAAAAGATTTCCAACCAGCACTAGCTTGGATGTGCTCTTAAATATAGAGGGGAATTTATCAAAACTGGTGCAGACAGGATCTGGAGCAGTTGCCCACAGTAACTAATTAGCTTTTCTCTTCAGTTTGCTCAGTTAGCTTTAAAAATGAAAGATAGAAGCTGACTGGTTGCCATGGGCAACTATTCCAATTCGGTCTGCTCCAGTTTTAATAAATTCCCCTCATAGTATTTTAAATAAAAACTCTCAAAATGGAGTAGATTTGTATTTTAATTTATTATATTTATTTTCTTAATAATTAACTAAACAGAAAATGAAATATAACTGTGTAAGAATGTGCTCCCTGGAAGCCAACCTTAAAAGCAGAAATAAACTGCTTTGTAGTTTATTGTTTTTTCCCATATTTGTACATTAGGGCATACTTACCTTACAAGTGTGCCCTTCTCCAGCGCTGTCATGATCTTCAGTTCTCTACACAGCCTTCTCCATTGATGGCAGTTATGGGTTTTTGGAAGTCCTCTCTGGCCATTGGGTGGCTACTTGTGATGTAACTCCTTTTTTCACTTTAGGCCCCTGTCACACGGGCTGTTTAGAAACGGATCCATCAATGGATCCTCTGCTGATCACAGCAGTAGGGACCGGATGTCACTACTGTGGCATCCGTGTCCATACAGTTTTACAAAACTGAAATTGCTGGACCCCATGTGTGTATATGGTGAATCGGTAGACCATGGCCAGTTGTTCATTTAATTCAGATTACCCTTGGTCAGGCACAATCCGGTCCATCAAAATTGATCTCTGATCCGTTTGTTTTTCCGGACCTACCTGGAGCCGGGGCTAACCAGGTGTAAACAGACACGTGTCCCTTTACACATGGCTGCCCATAGACTTACATAGAGCATCTGATCGGGTCTGGCTGAAAAACTGACAGGCGGACCTGATTGTGCCACTCATGTGAAAGGGGCCTTACTCCCACTTCAAACTGCATTTGTTTTGAATAAATCATTACAACTAAATACTAAACCTATGCTGCCTATTTTTATTAAGGTCTATCTAGACAAAAAATGTATAAGAGGATACGCTAAACAGTTCAAGGGCACAGATTGGTGAAAATCAGTCCAAGCGTACAAACAGCAGTATGAGCATAATAGTTACAGCAAATCAGGGTCTGAGGGTTGTGATCATCCTCTTTGGTCATAAGTAATTTTATACAGGGGAAATACCTGGTAAACAAATTTCTTCCATGCACTCAATGATGGAGGGGAGACATATATTATTTCCATACCAAAAGGCTTTTTTTTGAAAATATTTCTAAGGAGACATTTAATATGGAGTCAACTGAAAGATTATCTAGGATAAGTCCAAGGGCCATTGCAAGAAAGGCAGTGATATCAGACCATAAATTGAGAACACTGGGAAAAATGAGTGGAAAAAAATCTGCTCATTCATCAAACCCATTAAAACAGTGAGGAGAAGGTCTAAAGTCTAGTCCAAGAACAGCAGCTGGATTATAATATATTGGTAAGAGAATTGTATCTGTATAATTTTGTCTATTGATGATATAAGAGAGATCCATGTGTTAGTCTTTTTCCAGGAATAATTTTCCACATAGCATGCCAAGATACAGGCTCTCTAATAAAGCAGTCACTAAGAATCACAGGTCTTCAATCAGGGTTATATTCTCTTACATAGTAATATCTCTATACTGCAATTTCTCTACCCCGACAGTTTTCCCTCATGGCAACATTTCAGACAGGAAAGTCTCTTTGTTTGGCAATAACTTTAAAAAAGGCAGTCTCTCAATATGGCAGTCACTATAATTACACATTGTTTCTCCACATCAAAGAGTATGTCAGAAGGGGGAGGTGAATCATAAGCTCTCCCATACTAGGCAGTACTGAGTAAGTACATTTGCTTTCTCACATTAAGGTGGTGGTGTAGAAAAGAGATTATGAGTATATACATTTGAGGGGATTGTGCTTCATTCACACTTGCCACATTTTTTTGCAGACATCTGTCTGCACAATCTGCCAGGCTAGATGCTCTGTTTATGCTTCTAGATGCCTAAAATGATGCACGTTTACATGTGGTTACATGCGTTTGCATGCATATGCATTTGGATCCATCTGTCCTTTGAGACAATCCATTGAAGTAGCCAATAAATATTCAGCAAATAAATGTGTCTTGCGTTTACATGCATTTACATGTGTTTAGATGCATTTTGGTGCATTTAGAAGTTTAAACCAATTCCTTACTTCTATTTTTTTTCTAAATGCAGCTAAACCACATGCAGATAAAGGCATCTAAATGCAAGGTGTGAATAGATCTATTGGAAATCATTAGAGACATATATATGCATTTAGAAAACAATTTTAAATGCAGAAACACACATCTACTTTCACCTAGTGTGAATGTAGCCCTTATGTGAACCTGTTGCTCTGCCCTGCATCTGGCTTTACCTAAAATTAAACCAATCCAAAATATTGCTATACTGCAACTCTTCACTATATAGCTCATGTGCCCATGTGTGCCTAATGTCTTTTAGGATGCTAGGAATGCATCGGTGCCTTACTGGAGCACTGTACAAGTAAACAGAATGTAAATATCACTCACATTTTACTGGCTTTAAATATTACACCATTTCATAGGGCTATAACCCAGTAGAAGGGGGTTTAAACCTAGAACAGTGTGACATTTACACACCATTCACTGCTTTTCTTGATATAGGTAGTGAATATATTTTTTAAGTTTCTGTGTTAGATCTAATTTCAACAAAAATATTAAAAATGAAAAAATAAATATTTACTTACACATATTTCACATGTATCACTTGCAATGTTGGTAATGTAGGTTGTATGGGAAAATCACCACCTTTGCTATGAATAGGTTGTAATTTGATCTACTTTTCAGACTACACAAATAACTGAATGAGTCACTGGACAGACATACTCTATTTTCCTCTACAACGCATACAGTCCTGTATAAGGTTTCAATTTGACAACTACAGTCAAACAATTAGCAGCTATTGCTTGGCATTCTTATTAGAAGCCAAGTATGCTCTTCAGACTTTGTATAATGGGAATACCTGATACTAAGTAGGGATGGGCTTGATGTTCGAGTCGAACAAGAGTTTGACTCGAACATCGGCAGTTTGTGTGTTTGGCGAACACACAGACTGTCAGGGCGTTCGGCGGGCCATTCGCCCGCCAAGCGTCCCACAAGGCACTGCGCACCACACAGTGCCTTGTGAGCCTTGATTGGCTAAAGCCTTGCACAAGACCACAGGTCACGTGCAAGACTTTGCCCAATCAGGGCACAGTACTCTGCAAGAGCCATGATTAGGCAAAGTCATAATGACTTTGTCTAATCATGGCTCACCTGTCAGATGCCGTACAACTGTAAAGTTGGGTGGAGCCAGCTAGCTGTATCCGCTAGATCCAACCAATTGCTCATATTTTGTCGCCATCTGTCAGAATGCCATTCTGCGATGGGAGTTCATCGCAAGCAGATGGGTCGGTGGGCATCAGTGTTTTTAAAATTATTGTTTCTATTTATTTCTTTTTGTTTTATTTTTTATTTATATTTATTATAAGTGTTAAAACAATGTTTTTTTTCCAAGTAAATGATTTTTGATGAAAGTCTGGTGTTTTTATTTAATCTATTTTTTAACCCTTTAGTGAATGGGTAGGGGTACACATACCCCTTACTCATTCACATGGGGGGCGCATTTGGGTGCCCCCTTATTTAAAGGAGTACCCCGATGCAAATAAGACCCCTTGCCCGCAGATCCCCACAACCACCGGGTCAGGGTTGTGAGGAAGAGGCTCTTGTCCCCATCGGCACAGGCACAAGGTGCTTCTCCAGGGGCGAACCTGGAAAAGCACAATCCCAGCGCTGAGGGCATATAGCCTGGTATGGCGGGGGGGCTCACTTGTCTCCCCCTTTCCTGCTCTGCCGGGCCTCTGCTCAGATTAAGGCTCTGGTATGGAATTTTAGGGGGACCACACATTTTTTCCTCATTTTTGGGGGTGGGTTCCTCCTTAAAATTCCTACCAGACCTTAAGGGCCTGGTATAACTTTTTGGCGAGAACCCCATGTTTTTGTTTTCGTTTTTTTTAAATGGGGTCCCTCCTAACTTTCCTACCAGACCTAGATGGTCTGGTATTGTTTGGGAGGGGGAATCGCACACTTTTTTTTTTTTAAATGTCATTTTTGTCTTTCTAAATGTAATTTTTGCTGCTGCAGGTTCTATACATTGTACAGATGTGCCACTTTACAGTATTTAGCGCTGCGGTACTTTGACTGACATTTATTCCATCATGCAACGCTGTACTGAAATTAATTTTATACCATTTTTTGGTACAGATAGAGCTTTCTTTTGGTGGTATTTAATCACCACTGGGGTTTTTATTTTTTTACTATATTAAGGAAAA